TGCGTTAAGCTCGGTCCAGAAGCGTCGGGCGGCTTGGATGTCCGAGCTGGATCCTGCGAGCGATGGGCGCCTCGCTACATGGGTTCGATTCTCATTAGAAGCATTTTCCGTCATGTAGACGTCGCCGTGATTGTAGGCGTCAGCGGCATCGTTGCCGGCGGTGGCGGTGGAGATGATGGCGGAGGTGTCCGCAGTAGATTCGGGGAAGTCTGTGGAGGGCACCCGGGTGTTGCGGTGGTCGGGTCCATTACCTGCAGCTCGCCATCGATCCAGCGGCCCTGCGGGCGCCCAACCGTCCTCTCCCTCGCCATCTCCACAGTTCTCCTCCTCCGCCTGGTCCTCCGCCTCCTCCTCCTCCCCCTCCTCAATCACGCGAGCCAGGGGATTAATGATACCACGCAAAGTTGTGACCTCGTCTGCCACGGATGGGCCGTTGTAGAACGGTGCTGCTGCTGAATCCCCCTCTTCTTCTTCGCCGTATCCCAGCATGGATCGTACAGCCGCTTCGGTAGTGTTTCCAACCTTAGCTGGGGGTTGATAGGACGGATCCGCAGCCACCGTAGCAACGTCCAAGCAAACATCAGCAGCGTTATGGCTGTTGTCGCTGCTGTGGCTGCCGGATGGCACAGGGACTACCGGGGCTGGGCGGGCCATCCTGAAGCTACGGCTGCTGGCCGTTCTGGCAACTGCGCCGGCGACGGCAACGTCCGCGACGTTGCGAATCCATTGAGTCTCTCCAAAGGGCGACGCCAGCGCAACAACGGGGGGGGACAAAATTGCGAGTTCCGGTGAGGCCGAACCTGGCGATTGAGGCCTGACGGAGGAAGGCGGCACGGCGTTATCACCGCTTCCGCCGCCATCGGCGGCGCCGCCGCTGGCAGTGCTAATGCCGCGCGGTCTTTGTGAGGCATCTTTGTCATCGCCAGCACTGTCGCTGACGCGGCCACTGCCACCCATCCCACTCCGGCTCCTACTCCCAAACGAGGCTGGCGTGAAGGCATGTTCACCCGGCGACAGAGGCGAGAGCCCGTGTAGTAGTGCGCCGTGGAGCAGCTTCCGCAAGTGCGAAGAGGTCGAGGCGCTGCCCCGGAGGCTGGCGACGTCGCCTGGCACACCTCCATCAGCGGAAGCGGACCGGGGTTCGAACGCAGCGTGATGATGCCACAGCGAGCTGGCGGATCTGTCCTGGGGGCCGCAGGCACTGCCCATCGCGTCCACTAGCCCATCACCCGTCATGCGTCTTGGCCACGCGCCCTCTTCCGCCAGCGCTGCCGTACGTCTCCCTGTCGTCACTCCTGACGCCGCTACCTCCGCCACGGCCTCCACTCTTAAACTATCCATCGGTGTGTACGTGCCCAAGGAGTACCGTCGGGGCCGGCTCTTAATACGGGATGCGACATAAGGGGATATCGCGTCACCGCCTGCTGGCGGCGGCGTCGCCGCTGCTGGCACCACAGCCGGTATGATAGCTGGTGGCGCGGAGCCGTACAGGATGTGATCCTGCGCCGCTGACCCGGCCGCCGCTGACC